CGCGCACACGCTCACGCTCACACTCACACTTACACTCACACGCTCACGCTCACGCTCACACTCACACTCACACTCACACTCACACTCACACGCTCACGCTCACGCTCACACTCACACACTCACACTCACACTCACACGCTCACGCTCACGCTCACACTCACACGCTCACACTCACACTCACACTCACACACACACTCACACGCTCACGCTCACACTCACACTCACACTCTCACGCTCACGCTCACACTCACACTCACACTCACACGCTCACGCTCACGCTCACACTCACACTCACACTCACACGCTCACACTCACACTCACACTCACACTCACACACTCACACTCACACGCTCACACTCACACTCACACACTCACACTCACACGCTCACGCTCACGCTCACACTCACACGCTCACACTCACACTCACACGCTCACGCTCACACTCACACTCACACTCTCACGCTCACACGCTCACACTCACACGCTCACGCTCACACTCACACTCACACTCACACACACTCACACGCTCACGCTCACTCCTCACACTCACACTCACACACCTCACACTCACACTCACTCACACACACACACACTCACACGCTCACACTCACACTCACACCTCACTCATCACCCTCACACGCTCACACTCACTCACACTCACACTCACGCTCACACTCACACTCACACTCACACCTCACACTCACCTCACACGCTCACCTCACCTCACACTCACACTCACACTCCACACACTCACACACTCACACTCACACCTCACACTCACACTCACACTCACACTCACACTCACACTCACACACTCACACCTCCTCACACCTCACACTCACACACTCACACGTCACACCCACACTCACACTCACACCTCACACACTCACACTCACACTCACACTCACACTCACACCACTCACGCTCACCTCACACAAGTCTCACACTCAACACACTCACACTCACACACTCACACACGCCACCACACTCACACGCTCACGCTCACCTCACACCTACTCACACACACTCACACACCTCACACTCACACTCACATCACACTCACACTCACACTCACACGCTCACACTCACACGCTCACGCTCACCTCACACTCACACTACACGCTCACACCCATCACTCACACACACTCACACTCACACTCACACTCACACTCACACTCACACGCTCACACTCACACAACTCACACTCACACTCACACACTCACACACACACTCACTCACACTCCACACTCACACTCACTCACACGCTCACGCTCACGCTCACACTCACACACACACTCACACGCTCACGCTCACGCTCACACTCACACTCACACTCACACTCACACTCTCACACTCACACTCACACACTCACACTCACACTCACACGCTCACGCTCACGCTCACACTCACACTCACACTCACACACGCTCACGCTCACACGCTCTCATGCTCACGCTCACGCTCACACTCACACGCTCACGCTCACGCTCACACTCACACACTCACACTCACACTCACACACTCACACGCTCACGCTCACGCTCACACTCACACTCACACGCTCACGCTCACACTCACACGCTCACGCTCACACTCACACTCACACTCACACGCTCACACGCTCACGCTCACACGCTCATGCTCACGCTCACACTCACACACACACACTCACACTCACACTCACACTCACACACTCACACTCACACTCACACCTACGCTCACGCTCACGCTCACGCTCACGCTCACACTCACACACTCACACGCTCACGCTCACACTCACACTCACACTCACACACTTACACTCACACTCACACTCACACTCACACACTTACACTCACACTCACACTCACACTCACACTCACACTCTCACGCTCACTCTCACGCTCACACTCACACACACACTCACACGCTCACGCTCACGCTCACACTCACACTCACACACTCACACTCTCACACTCACACTCACACACTCACACTCACACTCACACGCTCACGCTCACGCTCACGCTCACACTCACACTCACACGCTCACGCTCACGCTCACACACTCACACTCACGCTCACGCTCACACTCACACTCACACTCACACTCACACGCTCACACTCTCACACTCTCACACTCACACACACACAAAGGGAGACATACAGTACAGAATTACAGATATATACACACACACACACAATGATGAGTTATCCCTGAGCAAGACACTGTAAAGTTTTACAGTTTCATTTAGAACTCGTCCCAGTTGTGTTAGATCCAGACCTGATGATATGATGTGTGTTGTTGTGTGTTTGTTTGTTACTCCAGGTGCTCTGCTGAAGGCAGTGTGTGTCTGCAGTGGTGTAGTCTCTCTCTCCTCCCATGATGCCTTGGGGCCACAGTTGCTGCAGCTGTGGGGAGGAGGTCTGGAGCTGCACAGCTGGTCCTCTCTCCCCACCGGCTCTGGACTCGGTCAGAAACACTTTTGTACTTAATTTTGTGCTCTGTATGCTATGGTTCTTTCCGAGCACTCTGGCCAATCACTGTCAGTTAGAACACTTTAGTACCAGCTTGGCCTGGATAGAACCAGGACCAAGAGGGACTAAAGAAGAGTGGAGTACAGTATTTAGAGTTTTTGTTTCTGTGAGCACTGCATCTGAATTCAAGAGGAAAACACCTGAAACAATTGTATTAATTCAATTGTACATAACGTATTTTAATATCACTGTTTTTTGTAGGAACCAGCAGCATCCTGGCAGGGGCGCTGTTGGCTGCCGTTTATGGATGCACCGGTCGTACCTACGACACGGACTCTCTGATCCACAACGTGCTCTACCTGGAGCAGATCCTCACCACAGGTCTGAGGCTGTAGTCCCAGGACTGAGGCTGTGGATCCAGGACTGAGGCTGTAGACCCGGACTGAGGCTGTAGATCCAGGACTGAGGCTGTAGACCCAGGACTGAGGCTATAGACCCAGGACTGAGGCTGTAGATCCAGGACTGAGGCTGTAGATCCAGGACTGAGGCTGTAGATCCAGGACTGAGGCTGTAGACCCAGGACTGAGGCTGTAGATCCAGGACTGAGGCTGTAGATCCAGGACTGAGGCTGTAGATCCAGGACTGAGGCTGTAGACCCAGGACTGAGGCTGGAGACCCAGGACTGAGGCTGTAGACCCAGGACTGAGGCTGTAGACCCAGGACTGAGGCTATAGACCCAGGACTGAGGCTGTAGACCCAGGACTGAGGCTGTAGATCCAGGACTGAGGCTGTAGATCCAGGACTGAGGCTGTAGACCCAGGACTGAGGCTGTAGATCCAGGACTGAGGCTGTAGATCCAGGACTGAGGCTGTAGATCCAGGACTGAGGCTGTAGACCCAGGACTGAGGCTGTAGACCCAGGACTGAGGCTGTAGACCCAGGACTGAGGCTGGAGACCCAGGACTGAGGCTGTAGATCCAGGACTGAGGCTGTAGACCCAGGACTGAGGCTGTAGACCCAGGACTGAGGCTGTAGATCCAGGACTGAGGCTGTAGATCCAGGACTGAGGCTGTAGATCCAGGACTGAGGCTGTAGACCCAGGACTGAGGCGGTAGACCCAGGACTGAGGCTGTAGATCCAGGACTGAGGCTGTAGATCCAGGACTGAGGCTGTAGATCGACTGAGGCTGTAGATCCAGGACTGAGGCTGTAGATCCAGGACTGAGGCTGTAGACCCAGGACTGAGGCTGTAGACCCAGGACTGAGGCTGTAGATCCAGGACTGAGGCTTATAAAATCTAGGACTGAGGTTTTAGATCAAGGACTGAGGCCATAGTATCACTGAGATTCTGTGTTTTTAGACTAAAGGTTGTATTACTAAGTTTAACAAGACTTTTGCTCCCATGATTCGTGTGCGTGTGTTCTTCTACAACCTGGTTCCATGCATCTCTCCTGTTGGCTAATGTATTAGTATGTGTTGTGCAGGTGGGGGCTGGCAGGACCAGGTGGGGGGTCTGGTGGGGGGTGTGAAAGTGGGTCGCTCTCTGCCACAGCTCCCCCTGCAGGTCACAGTGCAGCGGCTCACTCTGTCGCCTCAGTTCCTGGTGTCTCTGGAACAGCACCTCCTACTGGTCTACACCGGGAAGACACGGCTCGCTCGCAACTTACTGCAGGTTTGTGACTTTGTGTTGGAGGTATTGTTAAGTTTGAAATTAGAAATACTAGTAATGCATTGATATAAAACACTCTCCACTGGCCCATTATGACCACTGTAGCCTGATACAATAACAAAACACTGAAGGAGAAATGGTAACAAGAACAAGATCTGAGAAACATGACATTTATGATATCGAGTGAATTATAATTAAGAGAAATATCTGATGTGAGGGAAAGAGTCACAACATGCTTTATCTGTTGCCTTTATGTACTTACAAAATCACCTTTTGACTCTTTGAGCTGAGATCTGATTGGCTGAGGGAGGGTGGTCCTCTCTTTTTCACTTTTCTGTCTGAAAAATCTGATCTACAGATGTGATACAGAGGACGAAAGTGGGAAATGGCAGGACCAGTACCAGGACCAAGATCGAGACTGAGATGTGACCGAGGCCAAGCATACTGTACATTAAACTAGTGACAGAAGAAAACAGAGACCAGATTACAAAGTTCTATATTTTGTTTTTGAAAGTTAGGTGCCCCAGCTTTACGCTCTGACAGTCAACAATCGGGTAAACCAGGGAAACATATATAGTACATGTGGCAGAACTGACCGTAACTATTCACTGCTGTTGAAAGTCTGAGTTGATGGTGGTTTCTGGTGTCTCCAGGACGTGGTGCGCAGCTGGTACAGTCGTCTGCCTCACATGGTCCAGAACGCACAGCAGCTGGTGGCCAACGCTGAGGCCTGTGCCGAGGCCTGTTCAGAAGGTATATCTCAGAGGTCACTTTATTATCTATCATCTTAAAAGCAAGATCCTATTTGATGTCTTTCTTCTTCTTTTCTGCGGCAATGTGCAACTACGACATTGACATTTCCACAGACGTTTATCTAAACTAGAGCTATAGACTGTATGTGAGGAGTGGACTGACAGAGTGTGACATCACCACAGTGTTTGTCAAATGCAGAAGAGGCCGATTTCAACATAAGATGGAGCCAATTTCTCCCCATATGGGATTTTTTTCTGAGCTTTCTGGTGTATCAGGGGCAAGCTGAGGTCTCCCCCTGAATGAAGGCCTCGGATTGGTCCATCGGTATATGGCTCATATGAAGATTTACAAAGACAATATCACTAAACCACAGATTTTTCAGCCCAAAATGGTGAGTGACACAAACATCTACTGAGCTAGAGGTGTTCACTTTAATGTTTAAGTCAATAGAGAGCCAAAGAGAGGAGCCAAGCATTTCATTTTGGCAAGACAAAAAATACTATTCATGAAAAGAAAACGTTCAGTTGCCCAGATTTATAAAACTAACGAACCCAGCCGACTCGCTTTAGATGGTCTTAAACCTAACCCTCTCTCCAGGCTCTTTGCTTTTCTCTCTGGTCTCTTTCTCCCCACGCTGGGGCTGTTGGTCTCACCCTCTCTCTCCCCCTCTCCCCCCAGGTTCTCTCCCCGCCCTGGGCCACTGCCTGGACTGTTCCTGGCAGCAGAAGAAGCTGATGGCCCCTGGTTGTGAACCAGCGTCTGTGCGGAGGATGATGGAGGCACTGAGGCCCCTGGTGCTGGGGCAGAGTCTGGCAGGAGCTGGAGGAGGAGGGTTCCTGTACGTGCTGACCAAACTGCCCCGACAGAAAGAAGAGGTCCTGCAGGTCCTCAGCAGAACCCCGGTATGTGACAAAGACAGAGCCTGGATTACAAAGGGAAGCTTGTATGGACATTTATCAACATTCATGGACATTGGTATCTCCCTATAATAATAATAATAATAATACATCACTTATATAGCGCTTTTTTGGACACTCAAAGACGCTTTACAGAAGAAAATGGACCAATTCATGTGTATTTTTTGTGTCCTAACTGTTGATTCTCTGATCTGTGTTGATGATTTCAATGGTTTTGTTAAGTCTCTGAGATGATGCTGTTGTGATTTAGGGCTATACAAGAAAAAGTTGTTGTTGAAACTCATCAAATGATCCTTATTCACATTTTGACCAAAAACCTGGATCCCTCATTTCTTACACACTGAGCCACACGGGCTGGTGTCAAAACAACTCTGCATTGAACCCGCCTTAAGACTTAGTTTTTTTGACTAGGTGTTTTCAGTGTGATTTAGACACTAATAAAACACTGTCAGTATATTTATTGTTTATTAATGCTATTTAAATACAAGGATGTCTCTCTCTGACTGTGTTTCAGGGTCTGGGAGATGTCAGTGTTCACTCAGTGGAGTTGGACATGGAGGGACTCACAGTGGAATCAAACACATGAGCCACAAACAAACATCCTTCTTTCTGATTGTTCTTTTCCCTTTTGTCATTTTCTACAAATGTTTTTACTGTGATTTAAAATCTTAAGTCCGCGATTTGTACAGAGATAAGTCTTTATATAAAATTGTTTTAAATATTGAGATTTCATTTTCATACAACATAAGCAGTGTCAAAGACCGGTTCTCAGCTCTCTCTCCTCCCGCTGCTGCACACCTAAGTCTCTGCTTCCAGCTGATGTTCACGCAGCAGCCCACCTCCACCCCGTCACCACCTCTTCAGTGAAGAATCATGTTATCGGCTCAGCTTCCTGCAACACCAGGATCTGGCCCTAAGACTCCAGCATCAGGGTCTGGACCTGAGAGACTCCAGCACCAGGGTCTAGACCAGAAGGGTTCACTCATCTCTGTAGACAACATGCAATATTTCTGCCAGCGTTGAATCAAACCTTAATGAACATTTGTTTTAGTGGAATAAATAAATGTGTGCCTCATGCATCTGGGTCTAATGTCTGATCAACAACAATGAGACAATGTATTTATTTTGTAAACATATAAGTCAGGTATGGCAGCTTTAAGAGTGTATTCAGTCTCCAGGGATTTAGATTAGTAGAAATATAAAAACATTGCCCAGGAAAGGCTCGCAGCCCAACTGTTGAGAACCACTGCTATAAAAGGGTTCAGTTTTAACATGTACGACAAAGACAAATGCACTAGACCCCACGCCCCTGCGCTGACCGTCACAGAATGATCTCATTTTGGTCTTGAACAGAATCTAAAGTCTCCAGTCTCTGTGAGGATGAAGCAGAACTGAGGTCACTTCCCGGCGACTGCAGACAGCTGGTCTCGGATTCGTCCGAGTCCGTCCAACATGGTGTCCAGAGACTCCCTGCTGAGCTCCACCGTCACCGTGGAGACGGCCTCATCACCACCACAGGAGTCCTCCACCTGAAGGAAGTTCCAGTTCAATCACATCATCAGAACAGTAACTTTACAACAGAGAGAGAAAGGCCAAGGTGTAGGCTGAAGATAGAGAGAGACCAGAGAGAGAGAGAGAGAGATCAGAGAGATTAAAGAGACTAAAGTATTGTGGAGTGATGAATGTTACAGTTTTGTCCCTTCATTAAAAAAAGCTAATAGATTTTACATTGAATTTAGTTTAAAACTGCAGAGCTTCTGGTCTCTCTCTGGTCTCTCTCTGGTCTCTCTCTGGTCTCTCTCTGGTCTCTCTCTGGTCTCTCTCTGGTCTCTCTCTGGTCTCTCTCTGGTCTCTCTCTGGTCTCTCTCTGGTCTCTCTCTGGTCTCTCTCTGGTCTCTCTCTGGTCTCTCTCTGGTCTCTCTCTGGTCTCTCTCTGGTCTCTCTCTGGTCTCTCTCTGGTCTCTCTCTGGTCTCTCTCTGGTCTCTCTCTGGTCTCTCTCTGGTCTCTCTCTGGTCTCTCTCTGGTCTCTCCCTGGTCTCTCCCTGGTCTCTCCCTGGTCTCTCCCTGGTCTCTCCCTGGTCTCTCCCTGGTCTCTCCCTGGTCTCTCCCTGGTCTCTCCCTGGTCTCTCCCTGGTCTCTCCCTGGTCTCTCCCTGGTCTCTCCCTGGTCTCTCCCTGGTCTCTCCCTGGTCTCTCCCTGGTCTCTCCCTGGTCTCTCCCTGATCCAAACCTTGAGCTGTAGGAGACATGTGGGGACGGCCATTCGACTGACGGACTCTGAGCTGCTGACCAGGTCCACTCTCCAGTCCACCTCCTTCAGCTGCGGCAGAGAGACTGTAACACACCAACGCAACTCATTTAAAAACACACACACACACACACACACACAAAGACAGACACACACAAATAACACAACTCACTCTGGTGACTGAGAGCCTCTGATCTCCAGCCAGAACTAAAAAAATAGAAAAGTTTGGTTAAGTTTGTGGTTGATTTCATTTTATTTCACGTTCTGTGTAATAAATTAACCTGAGCCAATTTACAGGGGACATTTGTGAAAGAGACCAGAGAAAAACCAGAGAGACCAGAGAGAGACCAGCGAGCCAGGAAGTCATTAGATGGATGTCATAACTCTTAGACATTTTTTGAGGTCTGAAAGTTAGGTACCTCAGCTTTAATGTCTGAAATAGGCAGATATTGAAAGCCAAAGTATTGAGAAAGACCAGAGAGAGCAGAGAGATATTATAGAGAGAGAAGTTAGTTTTAAAATTATGTTTTTTTTCCAGTAGTTTTTGGCACTGACCTGTTTTCCAGCAGGATTTTTGTGACAAGGTTTTTGAGGCTGGAATGAAACGATTCAGGAAAAAGCTGCAGAATCTGATCCGGAGACGAGAGGTTGTGGAAAACCACGTGACGAGTCAGAGAGTGCAGCGACTGAAGAAGCTGAGGAGAGAGGGACAGGGTCAGAGATCCAGGACTGAGGCTGCGGATCCAGGACTGAGGCTGCGGATCCAGGACTGAGGCTGTAGATCCAGGTCTGAGACTGAGGCTGTAGATCCAGGGCTGAGGCTGTTTTCTGAGATGTTTATTAATCTCACTCTTCTGTACTGAGTGTCAGATATACAGTGCCTTGCGAAAGTATTCGGCCCCCTTGAACCTTTCAACATTTCGCCACATTTCAGGCTTCAAACATCCATCCATCCATCCATTTTCTACCCTTTAATCCATTTCTGGGTCAGGGGGGTGGCAGTCAGAGATGCCACCCAAGTCTCATAGCACCAGCCCCTCACTGACCCTCTGCAGGTGGTGAGTCCACAGGAGGATGGCTGCTCTCTGACTGTGAGCATAGCCTTGATCTTTCAGTGGGGGCTTTGGGCAAAGTGGGGTTAAGTGTCTTGCCCAAGGACACAACGACAGCAGTCATCAGTGGGAGTCGGTGGAGAAGGTGTAGAGGTGGGAATTGAACCCACGACCTTCTGGCCTTAAGGCCAATGCTCTACCAACTGAGCTACTGTTGCCCCAGGCTTCAAACATAAAGATATAAAATTTTAATTTTCTGTCATGAATCAACAACAAGTGGGACACAATCGTGAAGTGGAACGAAATGTATTGGATAATTTAAACTTTTTTGACAAATAAAAAACTGAAAAGTGGGGCGTGCAGTATTATTCGGCCTCTTTACTTTCAGTGCAGCAAACTCAGTCCAGAAGTTCAGTGAGGATCTTTGAATGATCCAATGTTGTCCTAAATGACTGATGATGATAAATAGAATGCATCTGTGTGTAATCAAGTCTCCGTATAAATGCACCTGCTCTTTGATAGTCTCAGGGTTCTGTTTAAAGCGCAGAGAGAACCATGAAGACAAAGGAACACACCAGGCAGGTCCGAGATACTGTTGTGGAGAAGTTTAAAGCCGGATTTGGATACAAAAAGATTTCCCAAGCTTTAAACATCTCAAAGGAGCACTGTGCAAGCAGTTATATTGAAATGGAAGGAGTATCAGACCACTGCAAATCTACCAAGACCCGGCCGTCCCTCCAAACTTTCATCTCAAACAAGGAGAAGACTGATCAGAGATGCAGCCAAGAGGCCCATGATCACTCTGGATGAACTGCAGATAACTACAGCTGAGGTGGGGATGGTGTGTTCAGGATGATGAGCTGTGTTGCTTTTACGCCAAACATATCGTTTTGCATTGTGGCCAAAAAGTTTGATTTTGGTTTCATCTGACCAGAGCACCTTCTTCCACATGTTTGGTGTGTCTCCCAGGTGGCTTGTGGCAAACTTTAAGAGACTTTTTATGGATATCTTTGAGAAATGGCTTTCTTCTTGCCACTCTTCCATAAAGGCCAGATTTGTGCAGTGCACAACTGATTGTCCTATGGACAGACTCTCCCACCTCAGCTGTAGTTATCTGCAGTTCATCCAGAGTGATCATGGGCCTCTTGGCTGCATCTCTGATCAGTCTTCTCCTTGTTTGAGATGAAAGTTTGGAGGGACGGCCGGGTCTTGGTAGATTTGCAGTGGTCTGATACTCCTTCCATTTCAATATAATTGCTTGCACAGTGCTCCTTGAGATGTTTAAAGCTTGGGAAATCTTTTTGTATCCAAATCCGGCTTTAAACTTCTCCACAACAGTATCTCGGACCTGCCTGGTGTGTTCCTTTGTCTTCATGGTTCTCTCTGCGCTTTAAACAGAACCCTGAGACTATCAAAGAGCAGGTGCATTTATACGAAGACTTGATTACACACAGATGCATTCTATTTATCATCATCAGTCATTTAGGACAACATTGGATCATTCAAAGATCCTCACTGAACTTCTGGACTGAGTTTGCTGCACTGAAAGTAAAGGGGCTGAATAATATTGCACGCCCCACTTTTCAGTTTTTTATTTGTTAAAGTTTAAATTATCCAATAAATTTCGTTCCACTTCACGATTGTGTCCCACTTGTTGTTGATTCATGACAAAAAATTAAAATGTTATATCTTTATGTTTGAAGCCTGAAATGTGGCAAAATGTTAAAAGGGTCAAGGGGGCCGAATACTTTCGCAAGACACTGTAAGTGTAGGGATAAGTTGAATTGTAAAGTTCTCCGAGACGACTGCTGCCGAGTTTCAACCAGTAAATAACTATAGGATTTATACCTTTAGCCTCGGATTCTGTCTCCACTTTACATTGTGTGATGGAAATGAAACTTTCTGCTTTTATCAGTGCATTTCCCACATCCTAGTACCTCGTTCTCAAAACCATTAAGTTGTTGAATACAGCAGCTAGACTGTTTCACTACAACGTGTGTCCCTAGAGGATAGAGAGATCAGAGACCAGAGAGAGACCAGACCAGAGAGCGACCTGAGACCAGAGAGAGACCAGACAGAGAGCGACCTGAGACCAGAGAGAGACCAGACAGAGAGTGACCCGGGACCAGAGAGAGACCAGACAGAGAGTGACCTGAGACCAGAGAGAGACCAGACAGAGAGTGACCCGGGACCAGAGAGAGACCAGACAGAGAGTGACCCGGGACCAGAGAGAGACCAGACAGAGAGCGACCTGAGACCAGAGAGAGACCAGACCAGAGAGCGACCTGAGACCAGAGAGAGACCAGACAGAGAGTGACCTGAGACCAGAGAGAAACCAGACAGAGAGTGACCCGGGACCAGAGAGACCAGACAGAGAGAGAGACCAAAGAGACACACTATCTATAACCTGTGAGTTATAACATGTGTGCAGTGCCCTGTCTCTCCCACAGGGGGCAGTACCTGAGCTGCTTCAGAGATGGAGATGCTGAATGTTGCTGCAGTGTTTTCAGTGAGGACTCGACTCGGACCCCTGTGACTGAGGACAAACACTTCTCTCACGGCTTCTTTAGACGGAGCCTGAAAAACAAACAAGTGGAAGATGGTTGGAGCAGCGCTGGACCCTGAATACATATGGATGTTTGCTCCAACCTCACAAGTCTCAGGTCTTTCTGGTCCCACTCGCTCTGGTCCCTCTCTCTCTGGTCCCTCTTCTCTCTGGTCCCTCTCTTTCTGGTCCCTCTCTCTCTGGTCCCTCTTCTCTTTCTCTTCTCTCAAACTAGTCTCTCTCTGGTCTCTCACCACTCTCTCTCTCTCTGGTCTCTATCTCTGTGGTCTTTCTAACTAGTCTCTCTCTCTGGTCTCTCTCTCTGGTCTCTCTCTGGTCTCTCTCTGGTCTCTCTCTGGTCTCTCTCTGGTCTCTCTCTCTGGTCTCTCTCTGGTCTCTCTCTCTGGTCTCTCTCTCTGGTCTCTCTCTCTGGTCTCTCTCTCTGGTCTCTCTCTCTGGTCTCTCTCTCTGGTCTCTCTCTCTGATCTCTGGTCTCTCTCTCTGGTCTCTCTCTCTGGTCTCTCTCTCTGGTCTCTCTCTCTGATCTCTCTCTCTGATCTCTCTCTGGTCTCTCTCATATTATGGAGATACAAAAATATCAAAAATTAACGCTAATAATTCTCTTCTCTTTGTGTTTAGCTTTAGCTGGTGTAGCTGTGTTTCCAAACCTATAAAAGTCTTTAAAAGATGTTTCTCTAAATACATTTGTGTGAAAGTTACGCTCGCAGTGAGTCATAAAAACATGACAAAAGTAACAAACAGAACCTTGAGGAGAAGCTGCAGGTTGGAGAAATCTTCAGCGGTGACAGCGGCCGCCATGATGGAGCACACACGTGACTCATGTGAGCAAGAGTGCTCATGGGAGATGTAGTTTTTACGCCTGCGCAAACCGAGAAGAGATTATTTATTTGTTCTAGAGTGGAGAAATGTCACCAGTTATAGAACAGTAGGAATGAGGAGCATTCAGCACAAGATAATGAACAATAACTCCATACTATATTTAAATACAATCTCTAAAATTAGAGATTGTATTTAAATATAGTATGGAGTTATTGTTATTACATGATAAAGAAGCAAGTATGTATAGTTAAAATTAACCGTATGCAAGATTCTTAACTAAATAAAAATACAGACATGTTATTTAGGTGAATTCCACCTGTGAGCCACGTGACATAATGACAGTGCAATATAACAGAAGTGACTTCCTCTTACAGGAACCACCTAAGTCTTCGAAACTTTCGTTTTCAACGACACTAACTCACAACCACTGTAAGAGATGGCTGAGGCAGTTCTACACTCGGACGCTTTGACGTGTCCCGTCTGTTTGGATTTACTGAAGGAGCCAGTGACGATCCGATGTGGACACAGCTACTGTAAGAACTGCCTTGAAAAGTCCTGGGCTGAAGACAGTGTTTCATTTCGATGTCCGCAGTGCAGGAAGAGGTACAGAAGGAGGCCCGTCCTGAACAAAAACATCATGTTGGCTGATTTAGTGGAGCAGCTCCAGAGGACAGCGCCCCCTGCTGACCTGAGTGGGCCTCAGGACGTGTCCTGTGACCTGTGTCCCGCACAGAGGAAGTTAAAGGCGGTCCGCTCCTGTCTGCAGTGTGTGGTCTCCTACTGTGACTCTCACCTCCAGCCTCATCACACTGTGGCAGTGCTGCACACACACCAGCTGGTGGCGCCATCACACAAACTGAAGGAGAACCTCTGTCCCCAACACCACAGACTGAAGGAGTTCTTCTGCCGCACAGACCAGGAGCTGCTCTGCTCCCTCTGTGTGGAGCAACACAAGGGCCACGACACCGTGTCCTCTGCAGACGAGAGAGCCCAGAGGCAGTTCCAGCAGGAGGCTTCTAGGGGCCGGCTCCTCCACCACCTCCAGAACATAGACATAGATCTGGAGCTCCTCCAGCAGAAGGCCCAGAGCATCCACCAGTCTGCCCAGAGAGAAGTGCGGCTCAGCGGGGATAGCTTCAGAAACATGGCCCTCCTTCTGGAGAAAGAACGCTCTAGAGTAGAGCAGCAGATTCTGTGTGAGGAGAGACAACAAGTGAAACGTGTCCAGGATCTCCAAGAGCGGCTGAAGCAAGAGGCCACAGAGTTGAGGAAGAACATTTCTGCTCTGGAGGAACTGTCCAACACCAAAGACCACAACCACTTCATCCTGCACTGCCCCACACTGCCCACAGAGAGGAAGGAGGGCAGGGTCCAGACGGAGCACCAGCAACACTCGGACCACACGCACAGACGTGTGATAGGCCTCTCTGAGAAACTGAAGCTTGTGCTCCATCAATTCATGTTCCATCAACCTGAAGGAGCCTCCGCCTGGAGCCTATCCCTTGGGGCCCCCAGCAGACAGCAGCTGATGTGCTTCAGACAAGACATCAGCCTGGACCCCAACACTGCCAACCCCCTGCTGTTGCTGTCAGAGGGAAACCGGAGGCTCAGGTGTCAGTGGGACCCGCTGGAGTACCAGGAGCACCCAGACCGCTTCACCCACTGGCCTCAGGTGCTGAGCCAGACTGGGACCATGGAGCGTGCTTACTGGGAGGTGGATGTGAGTGAAGCCAGATTGTTCTGTGCAGCTGTTGCATATAAAGATATCGAGAGAAAAGGAAGTGCTGCCAGATGCACTTTTGGATACGACGAGAAATCCTGGGCCTTAGAAAGAGACCAAAATGACTGTAGATTTTGCCATTGCTCAAACCAGATTAAGATCACGGGAGCTGTGTCATCGATCATCGGGATCTTTGTGGACCACAGAGCAGGAACTCTGTGTGTCTACAGTGTGTTTGAGAACGGCTCCATGAACCTGCTTCATGAGGTGCACACCACATTCACTCGCCCTCTGTACTTTGGACTGGGGCTGAATCACAGCAGAGACACTGTCCTCGTCAATCCTCCTACTCTGAATCTGACCAAAGCCAACTGAGCCAGGTTAGGAATGTGCAAACCAAATGGGGAATGCCTCTAATGATATATAATAGGGCTGAAACAACTAATCGATTAATCGACGACTAATCGATTATTGAAATAGTCGACAACTATTTTAGTAATCGATTAATCGTTTTCTGGTTCACACAGACTCAAACAGAGCAAAAATGACATGAAAATGTAGTATTTTTGATTAAAACCGACTTTGTTTTTATAATTTCATGAATATCTGTCTGTCTCATCCAATCAGAGCAGAATTAGCACAAAGAGCCTGTTACAAACATTTACTTTAAGTTTACGTCATCAATACGTCCTCGAGTGTTGCCACTTTAGCTTTTTGTGATGAAAAAAATAATTTTTTACACAATTCACAGCCGAGCGATTACTCGATTAATCGTAAAAATAATCGATAGATTAATCGATTACAACATAATCGTTAGTTGCAGCTCTAATATATACGTATAATTGATCTGAAGCAGTCCAAGTATTCATGTTTTTATAGAAAGATTTTGTATGTGTTTCTTTATAGATTTTCTTACTCACATGTGAATCAAAAGTCCAAACATTAGTCTTGTAGTGGTCAGCAATAATATAGACTCTACTCTACAACTGTGGGACCCCACGAGAGAGGAGAGAGGAGAGGAAAGGAGAGAGAGAGAGGTGAGGAGCTAGAGAGAAAATATAGGAGAGAAACAAGAGGGAGGAGAGGGGAGACAAAGGAGGAAGAGGAGAGGAGATGGGAGAGACATGAGGGAGAGGAAAGGAGAGAGAGGTGAGAGGAGAGAAGACAGAAGAGAGAAAAGATAGGAGAAAAATGAGGGGTAGGAGAGAGAGAGGAGAGAAAGGAGGGAGAGGAGATGGAAGATTTAAGAGAAGAGTTTGTCAGTGATGAAATACTTATTGTGTGTTTGGATAAATTCTATGTGACGAAGAGGTATAGAAATGGACCCAATTTGTTGATAATAGAACATTTTGACGGTTTTGAAATCAGATTTGCCCAATAGAACTCATAATACACTTGTTTTATCTGCTGGAAATGAGACGCTGGTTGTTCCATTTGTAACAAGAGAGAAATGTGCTTTTATTTTAATGTTTGAACTTCAACAAATCCTGTCGTTTTTGGCGCGTTTTAGCCCATTTCTGATGTTATCGCTGCAGAGTATTACGGGGCATTCACACCGGATCAGCCTTTCCTACATGTACACAATGAAATGAGTACAATGCTGTGGTAAGACCAGGCTAGAGCTGCGCCCCTGGGTCCCATTTTTCACTCGTCAATAATGATTTTTGTTTGAATAATTACAGGTGCATACTGTATTGAACGATTTTTCCAAACTTTAGGAAAGAACCGCCCTCGCCACTTTTTTGAACAAAACTCTCTGGTCTGTCAGCAGAATGATTGACGGTTGGGAGGACCAATAGTCTTGATGATCCACCCGGAAGTAGAAAATCCTCCTTCATACCTTTTTACAGACATTATACATTGCAAATCAGAGGTAGAATGTTATTACTGTTCTGGTACAAATCCACCTGAATGTATTTATAAAGTTTTGAGTCTGTTTTTCATTCATTTTGTGTAGTCATGAGTTTGCTGCAGCAGAGACTGAGCTGTGTGTATGAAGAGAGATGAGATGTGGATTTATAATTTGTGCAGGTTTTTGTTTCGCAATATTTTTCCAAACCATTTGAATTCATATGTGTTTTTCACTGGGGCTTTAAATAATATAATTGAAATATTTGTCCTTTGGTTAAGAATGTATTTAAAAACGTAAAACTAAAATGTATGCAGTGGAACAGCTGTACTGAGTCTGCATGTGCCAAGCATCTGAAGAGGGGCTGAGCTGTGAGCATGGAGAGACGTGATGAGGATGTGTATTTTATTTTATTTTGTGCAGAGCTGCCAGTAACAGCATCATCCTTTGGTCGTCTGCGTCCTGGTCCTTCTTCAGATGCAGATTCAACTTTTAAGGGTTTAACGGGATTGCGCCAGGTCAAGACTTTATCTGAATGATTAATCCAGATATTTTCAAATCTACATCATCTGCAGTAGCTCACCATTATGTGGACTGTGTAAAGGAGTAGCTCTCTGCCAGTGTCGTCCCGAAAAACAGAAGCTCTCTCTCAGGGAAAAGGATGGAGTTCTACGGTCTTCCCACCTCCAACGTGCAGCTCCTCTGTGGAAGAAAACAGACTCTGGATCAAACTGAACCTGAACACTGGAATTAGACCGAAACACTCGTTATAATAATAATATTTGCACTCTATGGTTATAACACTGTTGTTTAATGTAGCTGTAGTTCTGTGTGTCACCCGGCAGAGGGCGCCCCCAGCCAGTGATCAGCCTGAAGGACCAGGGTGAGGAAAACAGGGGTTGGGGTTTGGACCATGGATCTATTATATTAGGGTTTGGACTAGGACCAGACACACAACTTCAGGCTTCATTCTGGATCTGAGAAATATCCACAAAGTTATATGTTTTTCCACAATTCTAATTAATGCAAGACAAAACAAAAATTGGATCCAAGATTTGTAAATAATTCACAAATAATTTTTTTTAAGCAAAATTAAAATTTCACATTAAACTCTTTCATCTGCCCCTGTGGACTGTCTGTCCCCGCTGATGTTTGGTCTGTGGATAGATGTAAATAAAGTTCAAGAGTAAAATTATAAAAACATTTTTTTTAAACACTCGGCCTAAATCCACAGCAGCATGTGGAGCTCTCTGGTTCCGCGTCTCACTCTTGTGACTGTCATTATGACCGCTGGCAGCGCTTCATGACAGTAATTATTAAAGCAGAGAGTAGACACATATCGAACACAGAGGACTTTGGACAATCACAGAAGAGTGTCCAGACCAGAAAGAGAGACCAGAGAGAGACCAGAGAGAGACCAGAGAAAGACCAGAGAGAGACTAGAAAGAGACCAGAGAGAGACTAGAAAGAGACCAGAGAGAGACCAGAGAAAGACCAGAGAGAGACCAGAGAGAGAGAGTATAGAGCTGATGGAACCGTTTTATTTAATGCACCAAATGCCAAATCCATAAATGTGTTGCTGTGTGTCCTGTACTGACTCTTGGCATGAGTCCAAACGAGCCCGAGTCTCGTCTACATCTCGATTTACTCAACAACTGTAAACATTTGCGTAATCCTCCTTTTCTGAGGCAAGATGGCCGCCCACGGTTCCTCAGCCTCGAGGCTCAAACTCTCCTCTCTGCGTCGCTGTGTTCTGTTGTTAATTAGTGGTAAAAACCTTTACAAGACTCTGAGATGAAGCTAAACGTTCGCTTATCGAGACAGAACACTGCTTTCCTCTCTCAGCGGGAGTCACAGCAGATCCATTCATAGTTGTAATTGGTTTTATGGAGTGGGGGGCGGCCATGTTGGATTAATTTAGAGAAACAGATGTGGACCCCCAGCAGAGAGGAGAGAGGAGAAGAGAGGAGAGGAGAAGAGAGGAAAGAGAGTGAGAAGAGGTGAGAGATGTTCTCCTAGCTCTGCCCCAGCCCCCCCCCCGCCCTCTGCAGAATGGAAACTGCCAGCGGTCTCCACAGCAGCTTCTCTGGCCCAGTCAAAAGTCTCTGTAGAATCTGCAGCCTACAGTATAAGCAGCTCCTCGGCGGGTCAGATGGACCAGTCCTGGGCCTCTCTGCTCCTTTGGCAGGAACAGCACTGCCTGTGGAACCCAGTGCAGCACGTCCCAGAAAATATATCTACAATGAGTCTCTGGATCTGAGCGAGTAGAGAGGGGGGTGGGTTAGCTCAGGATACTAGTTAACAATGAGGACCCTCCCTCTGTAGGACATTTTGGGCAACAGCCACTTCCATCGGTTCAAACGCCCCTGAACTTGCTCCACTGTCTGATCCCAGTTCCTCTGGGCATGATCAGGGCAGAGGAAGACCCTCAGACCCTCCCCTATCATAGTGGCTGATCTCTTGCTGGAGCTGGAGACCTGACCAAAGCACTGCACAGTATGAGAAAGAACATTGATGACTCTCTGAGAGTTGATGGAGGGAGTAGAACATCCCTGACACAGAGCAGCCTGATGCCTCTGCACACACTGAGGGGAGCACTGAGCCCCGGTTCACCTTCAGTGCACTCATGATGTCACAGAGTCCCAGAAAACCAGACCTTTGTCAAAGCCATATGTTCCCAGTGAGCTGAGGAAGAGCTGTTTATGTTCACATTGAGGTCTATGGATAATCTCCTTACAGCTGCAGTACCGCGGGTGGCCACTTGTCAGGGAGAATACCATATCTAGATAATGTAAAACATGGATGAATAAATTACTAAAAACTAAGCACTTTCAGAACCATCAAATGTTCATGAATTACTAAGAGAGAGTTATGGTTTTAATGGTCTCACCCTCCAAACTCACTCCAGTGTCGACTACGTACATGTTTTTATCACATCTTTCAAAACATCCAAGTCTAAAGTGCACAAAGTTCAATATTAAAAATTAAACACAAACATAAGCACTGGAGAATAAGTCATTAAGCGCAACATCACATTCACACACACAGCTCATTCATAACAATGTACAAGAGGATTTTAAACGGAGAAATGTTTCTGTCCAAATAAAGCTTTAAGGCTACAGTATGTGCCTTTTCTAAGTTTCTCCATGACAACACCTGTGAAAAACTAATATGAATTCAAACCTGTTTTGCATAAGAAAGCTGATATGTGACTTATAACCGTCTCTTTTCAAAGGAATACATTAACACCATATTGTGGATGTTTCCAAATCTAATAAGCGACTTAATGCTACGATCGTGTTCTTGTTTGTGCCTCTGGCGGGCGGAGGTAACTGAAGTCAGAGAGTTTGGGACCAGAGAGGGCACAGTAAACGCAGCGAGGAATGACAAATGAGAGCACAACATCTGCTTCTGTGGAGACAGGGACTCTGGGACATCAGAGGACATGGGTCACAATGTCCTCTAAAACACACATATATACATATACACACACACACACGTTGGTCTAATGGGAGAAAGCAGGACGGCAGAATCCTCAATGTGTTGTAGCAGAAGCTGAGGTCTGTGGGTAAAAGGCCGATGGGAACAAGATTTAAAACCATTGTTCATCGACAAAAACTATTCATTTTTAGAAACTTTCAAACAAACACGAGTCACTTTCTCGTTACAAAGTTTCTCCAAAGCCACAGCTCTCAAAGTTTGATGAGTTTGATGAGCTGTGGAGCAGACAGCGGTGAGAGGGTTTGGAGTGTTTCCTGTAGTTCCACTTCATTCAGTCCTCACCCTGAAGAGACCAGAGAGGGACCAGAGAGGAAGACAAGAGACCAACTAGAGACCACAGAGGGAGACCAGAGAGGGAGACCAGGGAGAGACCATAAAGAGAGAGACCAGAGAGATGCCAGAGAGGAAGACGGGAGGGAGACCAGAGAGAGGCCAGCGAGAGAGACCAGAGAGGGCGGCCAGGGAGAGGCCAGAGAGAGAGAGCAGAGAAGACCAGAGAGGAAGAAAAATAAAGGAAGAACCGGAAAGGAAGACCAGAGAGAGACCAGAAAGAGGCCAGAGAGAGAGACCAGAGAGAGGCCAGAGAGAGAGACCAGAGACGAGAGACGTCAGAAAGAGAGAGAGACTTAAGATATAAAACCATTGTAAACATATGGAAACAATGACAAGTTTAACCAACAAACTTTCAAACATTAGTCACTTTCTCAGCACAAAGTTTCTCCATTCGCCTCATCGTCTCTGATCGCTATTTTAATTAGTAAACACCAATTTTTATTAGAACTGAGTTCATTTTGCTTTAAAGCGTTTTCTAAGGACCGAGTAATTAGGAGCAGAATGAGTTTAAACAGTGGTAATGACTTTGGTGCATGAGAGCAGAAAGAAGGTCAGGTTAACACAGTCTCCAAACACCTCCAGCCTGTGGACCCAGGACTGAGGCTATAGACCCAGGACTGAGGCTGTAGACCCAAGACTGAGGCTGTAGACCCAGGACTGAGGCTGTAGACCCAGGACTGAGGCTGTAGACCCAGGACTGAGGCTGTAGACCCAGGACTGAGGCTGTAGACCCAGGACTGAGGCTGTAGACCCAGGACTGAGGCTGTAGACCCAGGACTGAGGCTGTAGACCCAGGACTGAGGCTGTAGACCCAGGACTGAGGCTGTAGACCCAGGACTGAGGCTGAAGACCCAAGACTGAGGCTGTAGACCCAGGACTGAGGCTGTAGACCCAGGACTGAGGCTGTAGACCCAGGACTGAGGCTGTAGACCCAAGACTGAGGCTGTAGACCCAAGACTGAGGCTGTAGACCCAGGACTGAGGCTGTAGACCCGCAGGACTGAGGCTGTAGACCCAAGACTGAGGCTGTAGATCCAGGACTGAGGCAGATGTTTGGAGTGTTTCTCTCAGACTCTTGATTGGATCCTCAGCCTGAAGAGTAGATTCAGAGACAGATTTAGCTCAAGAGTCCTCAGTCTGAGAGTTCTGTGATGATGCTGTTCACTGTAGATTTCCTCCAAAAACACAGAAAAAAACCATGAAACTAAAGATGACCCGGCTCAAAGCAGTCAGAAGGTACAACAAACATAACTAATTAGAAGTTATCTAATTAGTTATATTCTAAATTCAGTCAGAAAAATGCCGATTAATGATTGAAAGACATGAGAAAGAGACCAGAGAGAGACCAGAGGGAGGCCAGAGAGAGACCAGAGAGAGACCAGAGAGAGACCAGAGAGAGACCAGAGAGAGAGAGACCAGAGAGAGACCAGAGAGAGACCAGAGGGAGACCAGAGAGAGACCAGAGAGAGACCAGAGAGAGACCAGAGAGAGAGAGACCAGAGAGAGACCAGAGAGAGAGACCAGAGGGAGACCAGAGAGAGAGACCAGAGGGAGGCCAGAGAGAGACCAGAGAGAGACCAGAGAGAGACCAGAGAGAGAGAGACCAGAGAGAGACCAGAGAGAGAGACCAGAGGGAGACCAGAGAGAGAGACCAGCAGCACTCTGGCCAATCACAGTCAGTTAGAACTTTTTAACATCAGCTTGGCCTGGATAGAACCAGGACCAAGAGGGACTAAAGCAGGACCTGGTACTGGTGAAACAGGAGTAGAAATAAACACTCCCAGTCAGAGGTGAGTAGAGCAGCAAACGTGTAAATAAAAGAAAAAGAAAAAAACTTCGATAATAATTTTTCTTTATTTTATTTTTTTACACAAACACACACACACACTTTCTGACTCCGACTTCTGACTCGTTGATTATAGGCACATTTTAGTTTAGTACAGAAAGGAAGAATATTTGTTTATATAGCACGTTCATACACTGGATCTACAGCCTCAGTCCTGGATCTTCAGACTCAGTCTTGGGTCTACAGCCTCAGTCCTGGATCTTCAGACTCAGTCTTGGGTCTACAGCCTCAGTCCTGGGTCTACAGCCTCAGTCCTGGATCTACAGCCTCAGTCCTGGATCTACAGTTTCAGTCCTGAATCTACAGCCTCAGTCCTGGATCTACAGGCTCAGTCCTGGATCTTCAGACTCAGTCCTGGGTCTACAGACTCAGTCCTGGGTCTACAGCCTCAGTCCTGGATCTACAGACTCAGTCCTGGGTCTACAGCCTCAGTCCTGGATCTTCAGACTCAGTCCTGGGTCTACAGCCTCAGTCCTGGGTCTACAGCCTCAGTCCTGGATCTACAGACTCAGTCCTGGGTCTACAGCCTCAGTCCTGGATCTTCAGACTCAGTCCTGGGTCTACAGCCTCAGTCCTGGGTCTACAGCCTCAGTCCTGGATCTACAGACTCAGTCCTGGGTCTACAGCCTCAGTCCTGGATCTTCAGACTCAGTCCTGGGTCTACAGCCTCAGTCCTGGGTCTACAGCCTCAGTCCTGGATCTACAGCCTCAGTCCTGGGTCTACAGCCTCAGTCCTGGATCTTCAGACTCAGTCTTGGGTCTACAGCCTCAGTCCTGGATCTACAGTTTCAGTCCTGAATCTTCAGACTCAGTCCTGGACCTACAGCCTCAGTCCTGGATCTACAGCCTCAGTCCTGGATCTACAGCCTCAGTCCTGGATTCTGAGTGGTTCTTCTCTGAAGCAGGAGGGTCTAAGAGAGATGACTGTTGTTGTCACTCAATTTAACTGAATTTAATTTCCTGTTTACAACACGTTTCAGAATAAAGTAAATGAAATGAACTCTGACAATGTCCCTGTTGAAGAAGAGCTGCCCCACAGTATGATGCTACCACCCCCACATTGTTGTGTGATGGTCTGGTGTGTTCTCTCATTCCTCTCCGGTCTCAGTCCTTGCCGGTCTCAGTCCTTGACGGTCTCAGTCCTCGCCGGTCTCAGTCCTCGACGGTCTCAGTCCTCGACGGTCTCAGTCCTCGACGGTCTCAGTCCTCGACGGTCTCAGTCCTCGCCGGTCTCAGTCCTCGACGGTCTCAGTCCTCGACGGTCTCAGTCCTCGCTGGTCTCCAGAGGGCCTCGGTTCGGGGGCAGAGCTGGCCTGATCTTCTGCCATCGATGCGGAGGCCAGATGATGTGTGAGGCTCGGCCGTGGAGCAGTCCCACTGACACCTGGAAGAGAAGACCCTTTATGGTCTCTCAGAAGAAGTGTGGAGTATGTACATGTACACATGAACTCAGAGAGCACCATCAGAGACCTCAACACGGGACCAAAGCGTTAACACAAGAACCTCAGAGCAGTCATTGTGACGGCTTCCATTCAAATGATTGGGATCACAAAATAATCCCAAAAAACTGTTTTCGTTTTTCAATACTTTTAAAGATATTTTGGACAAATCTTTTAATTTTACTCTTAAAACTGGCTTTCTGTGTGTGTGTGTGTGTGTGTGTGTCTGTCTCTCTGTGTATGTGTGGTCTATGTGTGTGTGTGTCTGTCTCTCTGTGTGTGTGTGTGTGTGTGTGTCTGTCTGTGTGTGTATGTGTGTGTGTCTGTGTGTGTGTGTGTGCGTGTGTCTGTCTCTCTGTGTATGTGTGGTCTATGTGTGTGTGTGTGTGTGTGTCTCTGTGTGTGTGTGTGTGTCTGTCTCTCTGTGTATGCGTGGTCTATGTGTGTGTGTGTGTGTCTGTCTCTCTGTGTGTGTGGTCTATGTGTGTGTGTGTGTGTCTGTCTCTCTCTGTGTGTGTGTGGTCTATGTGTGTGTGTGTGTGTCTGTCTCTGTGTGTGTGTGTGTGTGTGTTCGTACTGGTCCAAAGCTGTTACTGTCCAGACTGTGTCCGTGATGGTCGCCTTCGATCCAGAAATGTCCATCAGGAACTCTGACAAAGCGGTTCTTGTAGCCGAGGGTTCTGTGAAAACAACAAAAACATGTGCTAGATAAATAAATCTGACAGAGACACGCATTATAACATCTGTAAAGTATAAGAATATAGTATATGAATTGAATCAAACCGACTGAAACCAGAGCTAAACCACCTCTGGCATAAAATAAACGTATTCTACCAGGATTCTCAAACCTTATCCCACAGAGAGGCAAGTTTATCAGTATAGCACAGTTCATTCACGAGGCAACTCAGTGATTCACAAAACCTGAGAGAATCACACAAGACATTACAATCATCAATAATCACAGTGCATTAAAAAGAGGGAAGATACAATTCCTCAGTTGTTGCAGCGAAACAGAACTGAGTGGAAGCCTGTCTCACATTTTCAGGAAGACTAACCCAGATTTTAGTCTTCCTGAAAGACTAAAATCTTTAGTCTTTCACAGATTAGATTAGTCCAGAAGCCGACATCACGGACTGAAAAACTGTCTTGACTGTCTTGACTGTCTTGACTGTTAGTACGACCAACCGCACCGCCAAATATCACAGTTTTTGGTTGCTATTCGGTGAAACAGGTTGTTTTGGTCAAGTTTCCGAAGGCTCGCAGTTAGACTTCTGCCGTCTGTCATGGAGAGTGGGCGTGGCCGGGACGTCACATGCACGGGGTCAATAGGTGGGTAGGTGTCCGCTGCATTTGACCCATCCTCCCTGCCCCATGGCCCTCTGTCAGGATCAGTGGTTTTACTTTCCTCTCTGCTCTCCTGCTGCCAGCCCTTCAGGGTTTCTCAGCTCAATCAGATAAACACACAACACAAGAGTTCATTGCAGAATAGATTAGTTCATCAAAAGACTTTATAATTATACAACAACAACCTCCAGCGTGCATTACACCGAGTTCAATGCTTTAATTGGACCTCTCTTTCTCTCGTCTCAAAAGACTAGAGTTTGGAGTCTTCCCCAATTGAAAACCTTTACAACTGATTCCATCCATCCATCCATCTTCTTCCCCTTAATCCATTTCTGGGTCAGGGGGGTGGCAGTCAGAGCTGCACCCAATTCACTTAGCACCAGCCCCTCACTGATCCTCTGCAGGTGGTGAGTCCACAGGAGGACGGCTGCTCTGTCAGTGACAATACGGCCTTGATTTTTCAGCGGGGGCTTCAGGCAATGCAGGGTTAAGTGTCTTGCCCAAGGACACAACGACAGCAGTCATCAGTGGGAGTCCGGTGGAGAAGGTCCTTCAGGCTGAAAGGCCAGTGCTCTACCAACTGAGCTACTGTCGCCCCCAACTGATTCCTTAAAAAACAAATGATCTACAGCCTCAGTCCTGGATCTACAGCCTCAGTCCTGGATCTACAGCCTCAGTCCTGGGTCTAGAGCCTCAGTCCTGGGTCTAGAGCCTCAGTCCTGGGTCTACAGCCTCAGTCCTGGGTCTACAGCCTCAGTCCTGGGTCTACAGCCTCAGTCCTGGGTCTACAGCCTCAGTCCTGGGTCTACAGCCTCAGTCCTGGGTCTACAGCCTCAGTCCTGGGTCTACAGCCTCAGTCCTGGGTCTAGAGCCTCAGTCCTGGATCTACAGCCTCAGTCCTGGGTCTACAGCCTCAGTCTCTGGATCTACAGCCTCAGTCCTGGATCTACAGCCTCAGTCCTGGGTCTACAGCCTCAGTCCTGGGTCTACAGCCTCAGTCCTGGGTCTACAGCCTCAGTCCTGGGTCTACAGCCTCAGTCCTGGATCTACAGCCTCAGTCCTGGGTCTACAGCCTCAGTCCTGGGTCTACAGCCTCAGTCCTGGGTCTAGAGCCTCAGTCCTGGATCTACAGCCTCAGTCCTGGGTCTACAGCCTCAGTCTCTGGATCTACAGCCTCAGTCCTGGGTCTACAGCCTCAGTCCTGGGTCTACAGCCTCAGTCCTGGGTCTACAGCCTCAGTCCTGGGTCTACAGCCTCAGTCCTGGATCTACAGCCTCAGTCCTGGGTCTACAGCCTCAGTCCTGGGTCTAGAGCCTCAGTCCTGGATCTACAGCCTCAGTCCTGGGTCTACAGCCTCAGTCCTGGGTCTACAGCCTCAGTCCTGGGTCTACAGCCTCAGTCCTGGGTCTACAGCCTCAGTCCTGGGTCTACAGCCTCAGTCCTGGGTCTACAGCCTCAGTCCTGGATCTACAGCCTCAGTCCTGGGTCTACAGCCTCAGTCCTGGGTCTACAGCCTCAGTCCTGGGTCTACAGCCTCAGTCCTGGGTCTAGAGCCTCAGTCCTGGATCTACAGCCTCAGTCCTGGGTCTACAGCCTCAGTCTCTGGATCTACAGCCTCAGTCCTGGATCTACAGCCTCAGTCCTGGGTCTACAGCCTCAGTCCTGGGTCTAGAGCCTCAGTCCTGGGTCTAGAGCCTCAGTCCTGGGTCTACAGCCTCAGTCCTGGGTCTACAGCCTCAGTCCTGGGTCTACAGCCTCAGTCCTGGGTCTACAGCCTCAGTCCTGGGTCTACAGCCTCAGTCCTGGGTCTAGAGCCTCAGTCCTGGATCTACAGCCTCAGTCCTGGGTCTACAGCCTCAGTCTCTGGATCTACAGCCTCAGTCCTGGATCTACAGCCTCAGTCCTGGGTCTACAGCCTCAGTCCTGGGTCTACAGCCTCAGTCCTGGGTCTACAGCCTCAGTCCTGGGTCTACAGCCTCAGTCCTGGATCTACAGCCTCAGTCCTGGGTCTACAGCCTCAGTCCTGGGTCTACAGCCTCAGTCCTGGGTCTAGAGCCTCAGTCCTGGATCTACAGCCTCAGTCCTGGGTCTACAGCCTCAGTCTCTGGATCTACAGCCTCAGTCCTGGGTCTACAGCCTCAGTCCTGGGTCTACAGCCTCAGTCCTGGGTCTACAGCCTCAGTCCTGGGTCTACAGCCTCAGTCCTGGATCTACAGCCTCAGTCCTGGGTCTACAGCCTCAGTCCTGGGTCTAGAGCCTCAGTCCTGGATCTACAGCCTCAGTCCTGGGTCTACAGCCTCAGTCCTGGGTCTACAGCCTCAGTCCTGGGTCTACAGCCTCAGTCCTGGGTCTACAGCCTCAGTCCTGGGTCTACAGCCTCAGTCCTGGGTCTACAGCCTCAGTCCTGGATCTACAGCCTCAGTCCTGGGTCTACAGCCTCAGTCCTGGGTCTACAGCCTCAGTCCTGGGTCTACAGCCTCAGTCCTGGGTCTAGAGCCTCAGTCCTGGATCTACAGCCTCAGTCCTGGGTCTACAGCCTCAGTCTCTGGATCTACAGCCTCAGTCCTGGATCTACAGCCTCAGTCCTGGGTCTACAGCCTCAGTCCTGGGTCTACAGCCTCAGTCCTGGATCTACAGCCTCAGTCCTGGGTCTACAGCCTCAGTCCTGGGTCTACAGCCTCAGTCCTGGGTCTACAGCCTCAGTCCTGGGTCTACAGCCTCAGTCCTGGGTCTACAGCCTCAGTCCTGGGTCTACAGCCTCAGTCCTGGGTCTACAGCCTCAGTCCTGGATCTACAGCCTCAGTCCTGGATCTACAGCCTCAGTCCTGGGTCTACAGCCTCAGTCCTGGGTCTACAGCCTCAGTCCTGGATCTACAGCCTCAGTCCTGGGTCTACAGCCTCAGTCCTGGGTCTACAGCCTCAGTCCTGGGTCTACAGCCTCAGTCCTGGGTCTAGAGCCTCAGTCCTGGATCTACAGCCTCAGTCCTGGATCTACAGCCTCAGTCCTGGGTCTACAGCCTCAGTCCTGGGTCTACAGCCTCAGTCCTGGGTCTACAGCCTCAGTCCTGGATCTACAGCCTCAGTCCTGGGTCTACAGCCTCAGTCCTGGGGTCTACAGCCTCAGTCCTGGGTCTACAGCCTCAGTCCTGGGTCTAGAGCCTCAGTCCTGGATCTACAGCCTCAGTCCTGGGTCTACAGCCTCAGTCCTGGGTCTACAGCCTCAGTCCTGGATCTACAGCCTCAGTCCTGGGTCTACAGCCTCAGTCCTGGGTCTACAGCCTCAGTCCTGGGTCTACAGCCTCAGTCCTGGGTCTACAGCCTCAGTCCTGGGTCTACAGCCTCAGTCCTGGGTCTAGAGCCTCAGTCCTGGATCTACAGCCTCAGTCCTGGGTCTACAGCCTCAGTCTCTGGATCTACAGCCTCAGTCCTGGATCTACAGAGCCTCAGTCCTGGGTCTACAGCCTCAGTCCTGGGTCTACAGCCTCAGTCCTGGATCTACAGCCTCAGTCCTGGGTCTACAGCCTCAGTCCTGGGTCTACTGGCCTCAGTCCTGGGTCTACAGCCTCAGTCCTGGGTCTACAGCCTCAGTCCTGGGTCTACAGCCTCAGTCCTGGGTCTACAGCCTCAGTCCTGGGTCTACAGCCTCAGTCCTGGGTCTACAGCCTCAGGGTCTACAGCCTCAGTCCTGGGTCTACAGCCTCAGTCCTGGGTCTACAGCCTCAGTCCTGGGTCTACAGGGGTCTACAGCCTCAGTCCTGGGTCTACAGCCTCAGTCCTGGATCTACAGCCTCAGTCCTGGGTCTACAGCCTCAGTCCTGGGTCTACAGCCTCAGTCCTGGATCTACAGCCTCAGTCCTGGGTCTACAGCCTCAGTCCTGGTCAGTGAAACAAGAGAGCCTTGAATGACTGGCCACGTGTTTCCAGGATAGTACCAAAAGGAATTTAATAGCAACGATGCAATGGTAACAGGTATCAAAGGTCGATAAGTGCAACCATGTGATATAGTATAGTCCACTAAGACAACCATGGGGCGACTAGGGAATTGATTATGTCAATGGTCAACCTTGGAAACCGTGCCAAAATTCCCCGGGGCATCCATATCTTTTGATCTATAGTCACTATGTCGACCATGCACAATGGAATTGTTAGTCAAATGGTCACCTTGCAACCGTGCCATGAATTCCCCTCGTGGCAACCATAGTTATGCGATAGTCACTATGTCGACCTCCACTAATGGAATTGTTAGCAATAGTCCACCTTGGACACCGCCATCATTCCCCATGGCATCCCTATTATGGGCGATAGTCACAAGGGCGACCATCACTAATCGGAATAGTTATGGCAAAGTTCCATCACCTTGAAACCGGTGATAGTCCGATCCACAATTGCATACTGGTCACTAGTGGAAACCACAGCTATGCAATCATCTACTGATTTCATAGCAACCGTTTATCATGCCATAGAAGGCAATAGAGTGAAGTGGAAAAACTTGTTACATACATTTATTTATCTTGAATATAAAATATATAAAGCCACCTCAAATTAAATATTGCTCACTTTATTCTGCACATAAAAGAGCCCAAAAAAAATACGCACAGAAAAGTGCAGCTCACGTGTACAAAACGAGTCTAGGGTAAAGGTCATAAGAATAATGGATTTGGATTGTTATAATATCCACCCAAGCGCGGGTTTATAGCAGCAAAAGCAACACTGTGTTGCAGCAAGCAGTAATCAGTAAGAGTTTGTTGATAGTCCGAAATGGTATACGTAGTTTTCATGCCCCTCCACTGACTGAATACTTATTTCCATTGAACATGCATGAAGGAAAGCCCCCCAATGAAGTAGGGGAGCATCAAAAAATTTGCATATTATTCTCTTAATGTTCCTCACCAAACGGAAATCTTTAGTAAAAGGCGAAAGATTTATAAAATAACCTTCTGAAGAGAAACAAGAGTGGCCCAAAAGTCGAGCCCCCGGGAGAACAAAAAACATGAGGCCATGCGTATCTATCGTGGTTTGATCAGCAGCTAAAGAGTCCACTAATTTGACCATTTACAGCACGCAAATGCTCTGTCTGATTGACTGGCATGTTATTTAAGAAACGACCACCGACACATTCCACTTGGTATATAAGGCATTAAAAAGATAAGCAAGAAAAAGGAAATGGAAACCGCAAAGCACTAAGAAATCTGCCACCCTGGACTTTTACATTAAAGTGGAGGGGCAAACCGGTTTCATCCTGGAGGTACTGCAATACCGAGGTCAATGCATGGAAGGGACAGAGCGAAGCACCTAATATCCATCTCCCCAGTTCCAAAAAACAATTTCATATATGGTCCCCCATGTAGGGGACGTAACAGATAATTAAACTGATAAGAACAGATACTAACACTTGATCTTAGCCAAAAGGCCGAGAAGCGATGCCCAGTAAAATGTGGCGTAATTCTGTGGATTCTGCTAGACAAACCTAGCCACATGGTAGACAAGCATCTGTCATCAGCGAAAAGAAAAGAAAAGAAAGAGAAAAATGAAAAGAAAAGAAAAAGAACAGCAAAGAAAAGAAAAGAAAAGAAAAGAAAAGAAAGAAAAGAAAATAAGCAAAGAAAAGAAAAGAAAAGAAAAGAAAAGAAAAGAAGAAGAAAATAAAAGAAAGAAAAAGAAAAGAAAAGAAAAGAAGAAGAAAAGAAAAGAAAAGAAAAGAAAAAATAAGACATAGAAAGAAAAGCTTTTCCTTTACGTGAGAACAGGGGAGAGTCGCGTACGCAGTACCCCCACTATCAGAAATTATGCAGTTGAGATCCCTCAGTTTGGGGAATTCACAAAAGGTCAGCACACCCGTTCAGTGCAATGGATGAGCCCTCGCCTGGGTTGAACCACTTTTTTACACTTTTTAGGACGCATTTTTAGTTTCTTTAAACAAGGTAGAAACTTCACGAAACAATCTAATACTTACAATTTTTATTTACAATTGGGTGAACCACCTTCATGCTGGCATTGTCTCGGCCCCTGCAGTGAAAGTATGAATTGTGCGTGGATCAGAGCCAAGACCCCTGCTCCCTGGGACGGTGAGCTGGCCCAGCATTGTTCAAAGCAAAAGACGCTCATTAGGGACTCCATTGGTCCCACCAGTTGACAACAACAACGCACTAAGAGAAACCAGAGTGGCCTGAATGATGGCCACGGGGTTTTCCAGGAATAGTTCCAATAGTGATTTTAATAGCAACGGATGCAATGTAAACGGTAGCAAAGGTCTGATAAGGCAACCAATTGATAATGTTAAAAGTCACTATGACAACCATCACTAGGGTATTTTTTATGTCAATGGACACCTGGTGGGAAACCGTTGCCTTAATTCCCCGTTGCATCCATAGTTAATGCGATATGTCTCTATGGCGACCATCACTAATGGAATTGTGTAGGTCAATGGTCACTTGGAAAACCGTCGCCAAATTCCCACGTGGCATCCATAGTTATGCGATAGTCACTAGGGCGACCATCACTAAATGAATTAGTTAGGGTCAGTGGTCCACCGTTGGAAAACCATGCGCAAAATCCCCATGGCATCCCTAGTTATGCGATAGTCACTATGCGCGACCATCACTGGAAATGGAATATGTTTATGTCAATGGTCACCTTGAAACCGTGATATCCATCACTATTGCACTGGTCACTATGGAAACCACAGCTATGCATTCAACTCTGTTACCAAAGCAAGCCGTTTTCAGGCCATAGAAGGCGCAATAGAGTGGAATGGAAAAACTTGTAACATACTTATTTATCTGAATAACAATAATATAAAGCACCTCAAATTAAAATTGCTCACTATAAACTTCGACATCAAAGGCAAAAAAAATACCACAGAAAATGCAGTCACCGTGTACAAACAGGTATGTAAAGGGCATAGAATTTTTGAGTTGGATAATAAGATCCACCAAGCGCGGTTTTAGAGCAGCAAAAGCAACACATGTTGCCAGCAGCAGTATACAGTAGGTTTTGTTGATGTGCCGAGAATGGTACGGAGGTTTTCATGACCCACCGACTACGGAATACATATTTTCTATGAACATCATGAAGGAAGCCCCGGCTATGAAGTAAAAAAGGGGCGCAATCAAAAAATTGTGCAATTATTCGCATATGTTCCTTGCACCACGAAATCTTTAGTGATAAAAGGGCGAAAGATTTATTCGCTCTGAAGAGGAAACAAGAGAGCCCAAATGTCGGGCCCCGGGATAACAAAAAAACATTATGCCTGGCGTGTTTCTATCGTAGGTTGAACAGCAGCTAAACGTCCACCTAATTTGACCAGTTTACACGTGCAAAGCTCTGTCTGATTGACTGCATTGTGTTGATTTAAAAACACAACCAACACATTCCACATGTATAAAAGGCATTAAAAAGAGAAGCAAGTAAAAAGGAAAAGGAACAGCAAAGCACTAAGAAATCCCAGCCACAATATGACTTTTACAGTAAAGTAGGGATGGTGACAGAAAATGCAAACCCGATCCTGTATGTACATGGCAATAACCAGGATGCAAAGCATGGCGAGGACAGAGCAAGCTCCAATTTCCAATCTCCCAGTTTTCCAAAAATCATTTAAATATATGGTCCCCTCCATGTAGGGACGTTATCAGATATTAAACTGATAAGGAACCAGATACTACACATGATCTTAAGCCAAAAAAGCCGAGAAGCGATTGCCCAGAAAAAATGTGCAGTAATTCTGTGGGATTTCTGCTGCAAAACCTTTGCCACATGTTGACAGCATCCTTCATCAGCAAAAAAGAAAATAAAAGGAAAAGAAAAGAAAAGAAAAGAAAAGAAAAATAAAAGAAAAGAAAAGAAAAGAAAAGAAAAGAAAGAAAAGAAAAGAAAAGGAAAAAAATAAGACATTAGAGAAAGAAAAGCTTTCCATTGTACTGGATCAGGGGAGAGCGCGTACGCAGTCCCCCACTATCATAAATTAAGCAGTTTAGATTCCCACATTTGGGGAAATCACAAAGGTCACTAAGCAACCCGGTCAGTGCAATGGATGAGCCTACGCCTTGGGTGAACCACTTTTTTTACACTTTTTTAGACGCATTTTATTTCTTTAAACAAGTATAAACATACACAAACCAATCTATAACGTTACATTTTTTACAATTGGGTGAACCACCTTCATGAGCATGGGTCGTCGCCCGCTTGCCTAGTGGTAGAGTAATGAATTGGCTGTGGGAACAGAGCCAAGCCCCTGCTACCTGGGACGGTGAGTCAGGCAGCATGGTTCAAAGCAAAAGACCACATAGGTCCCAACTTTGACAACAACAACGCACTGAAAGAAACAAGAGTGCCTGAATGCGTGGGCCCACGGGGTTTCCAGGATAGTTCCAATGAGTGGATTTTTAATAGCAAAGCAACTGGATGCAATGTGACCGTAGCCAAAAGGTCGATATGGCACCATTGATAAGTAGATAGTCCTATGACAACCATTCACTATGGATTTTATGTCAATGGGTCACCTTGGAAACCGTTTCCATAATTCCCCGTGCATCCAAATTTATGCGATATAGTCCACTATGGCGACCAATCACTAATGGAATTGTTAGTCATGGTCACCATTCGGAAACCGTAGCCATAATTTCCCCGGGGCAGCCATAGTTATATGCGATAGTCACTCATGTGCGACCATCACTAATGGAATTGTTAGGTCAATGGTCACCTTGGAAACATGCCATAATTCCCCATGCATCCCTAGTTATCCGTAGGCACTATGGCTACCATCACTAATGGAATTGGTTATGACAAAGTCACCTTGGAAACCGTGTTAACCATCACTATTGCACTGGTCACTCTGGAAACCACAGCTATGCAATCCATCTCTTGATTTCCATATGCAACCGTTTTTCCAAGTGCCAGAGAAGGCAATAATAGAGGAATGGAAAAACTTGTTACATACTTATTTATCTTGAATAAAAATATATACAGCACCTCCAATTAAAAAATGCTCCACGTTTATTCGTTCACATAAAAGGGCCACAAAAATACCACAGAAAATGCAGTCACGTGTACAAACAGTTCATGTAAACGTCATAGAATTTATTGAGTTGGATTTATAAAGACCACCAAGCGCGGGATAGAGCAGCAAAAGCAACACAGAGTTTGCAGCACAGTATCAGAGAGTTTTATGATTGGATGTGCCGAAATGGTACGTGAGGTATTCAAGACCCCACTACTGAATACATATATCTTTGAACAACATGAAGTAAGTCCCCGCAATGAAGTAGGGCATCAAAAAATGTCAAGTATCACTATTGTTCCTCACCACGGAAATCTATAGTAAAAGGCGAAAGATTTATACGCTCTGAAGAGAAACACGAGTGCCCAAATGTCGGCCCCGCGGGAGGAACAAAAACATATAGGCCTGGCGGTTCTTATCGCCGTGGTTGATCAGCTGCTAAAGACCACCTATTTGACCAGTTGTTATACACGTGCAAATGCTCCTTTCTGGATTGACTGCAGTTGGATGATTTAAACACAACCAACACATTCCACATGTATATAAGAGGCATTAAAAAGAGAAGCAAGAAAAAGGGAAATGAACACAAGAAAAAGGCACTAAGAAATCAGCCACAACTGACTATTTAAGTAAAGATGAGGTGGCTCCTGTTCCTAGAGGAACTGGCAATACCAGGTCAATGCATGGAGAGGACAGAGCAAGCCTCCTAATTCCACTCTTCCCAGTTCCAAAAATCAATTAAACATATATGGTCCCCCATGAAGGGGACGTATCAGAGATAAATAAACAGATAAGAGACATAAAACTACACTTGATCTTAGCCAAAAGGCCGAGAAGCGATGCCAAAAAAGAGGCAGTAATTCTGGAGAATTCTGTCTGACAAACCCATTGCCACATGGTTGACAGCATCCTGTCATCAGCAAAAAGGAAAAGAAAAGAAAAGAAAAGAAAAGAAAAGAAAAAGAAAAGACAAGAAAATAAGAAAAGAAAAGAAAAGAACAAGAAAAGAAAAGAAAAGAAAAGAAAAGAAAAGAAAAGAAAAGAAAAGAAAAGAAAAAGAAAAGAAAAGAAAAGAAAAGAAAAGAAAAAAAAGAAAGAAAGACAAAGAAAAGAAAAGCTTTCTTGTACGTGAGATCAGGTATAAGCGCGACGCAGTCCCCCACTATCAGAAATTTTGCAGTTGAGATTCCCACATTTGGGGGAATTCACAAAGGGCAGCTCAACCCGGTCAGTGCAATGATGAGCCTCGCCTTGGGTGAACCACCTTCATGTATCATGGTCTCTAGCCCCTGCCAGGTAAGAGTATGAATGCTTGGATCAGAGCCAAGCCCCTGCTCCTGGGACGGTGTGCTGGCCAGCATGGTTCAAAGCAAAAGCCCTCATTGTCCCACCATTGACAACAACAACTGCACTGAAGAAACAAATTGCCTGAATGTTGGCCAACGGGGATTCCATGAAAGTTCCAATAGTGTATTAATAGCACCGGATGCAATGG